CACTGGATGCCGCCGTAGAACAACAGACCGTGAAGATCGCCGCCTAAGATTATTGGCCTTAAGGGACCGTTTCTCCACTACCAGGTCCATTGAAAATGAATGGTTTGCAGAACACGGAAGACCTATTGGCATGCGAAGTGTTTACCGACGAATGAGAAGTTTTGGCTTGTTTTCATACCGGCCACACTGGGTCCTCCCTTTAACTCGAGAACACCGACGTAATCGCCTTGAGTGGTGCAGACAACGGTCACTCTGGGATCAGGAATGGAACAGTATTGTCTTTAGTGATGAGTCTCGATTTTGTTTAGGCATGCACGATGGTCGTGTCACGGTTAGAAGGCGACGTGGTGAAAGGAGGAATCCACAGTTTTTTGTTGAAAGACATGTTCATCACACTGTTGGAGTTATGGTTTGGGGTGCTATAGCTTATGGTTCCAGGTCACCTTTAATCTTCATCAGAGGTAACATGAACGCGCAGCGTTATATCCACGAAGTTCTAGAACCCCATCTTTTAACCTATCTTGACACCCTGGCAGATCCAACTTTCCAACAAGATAATGCCCGACCACATGTTGCAAGAGTCGCAATAGACTTCTTTCAACATAATGATGTCACATTGTTACCATGGCCACCAAGATCTCCCGACTTATCCCTAATTGAGCACGTGTGGGATATGATGGGTAGGAGATTGCTCAATTTGCAACGTCCTCCTCAGACTCTAGAAGCACTTCGAGAGGAGTTGGTGGTTGCCTGGAATGAGATACCACAGGAGGACATTGACCACCTGATCAGAAGCATGCCTAGGCGCGTTGGAGAATGCGTAGCACATCAGGGTGCATCCACACATTATTAAAGGTCAAAGAGCTTTAAAGCAGTTCAATCATTTTGAAATTTTTATCATTTACTTATTATGCTTCATTAAGTACTTATACAAAATTTTATTAAAATAAAACCATTTAAACTGGGTGTTCGGATTTATATGTCACTTAGTATATGCTTGTACCTCAGATATGAGGTAGCTTTCTTTACTAGAGTTCCAATACCAATATATCACATTTCACCAAAGATTGATGAATCCGGTATCTCGGTTATAAGGAAATAAAGATCTGCAACCATAGGCTTTAGGCCTTCATGCTCTCATTGAATGAAACACTCTACGCAACAAGCGTTCGACACGTTTACTTAAATATCTGCAACACTTTGCCCGTATGGAAATACATGTGATGGAGACTGCTTCCATTTCTTTCACATGATGCAACACACAAAGAATGTGGCACAGAGACTACAGGAAAGTGGTTACAGTAGACTTTCTTGAATTGGCAGTACGTTATATATTATGACCTTCTGATTGAAAGTCTCAGTGGACAGAATGAATGACCATGGACAACTTTTGAGTTGTCGAGGGCCAACGTTCAAAAATATAGGTCGTAGAGCCCCCGTACCGGGTGGGCCCAATAACAAAGGACGTCGGATGTATCTCAGCAACCGTCCAATCTACAGCTATCGGTTAAAAAATATATTATAAAATTCGTCCAGAGAAATATATTGCTGACAAAAATTTTCAGCTCCCTAAAGCGGTCACTAGGGGACGTAATTCCAATTTCAAAAACTTCATAGTGTTGACTGGTCAATTTCGGAACATTTTTGTTTATGTAATTTTTTCATACTTTCATTTCAAGAAAAGTCATAACTTTTGTTTGGTTACACCGATTTTGATAATCTTGATTTCATTTGGAGGAGTACTTACCTGCGCTGCTGACGAGGCTCAACCTTGCCAGACTAAGTCAGCTTATGGTCGCTAAATGACGCTTTGTGGATATGTCAGCACTATCTTAGATTCTTCCAGAAATTTTAAATACAATGGTATGGTATTTTCATCTTAGTCCGAAAGTGCGCAAGAAAATCCTATACAATTTTAAAAGCGCAGATCAATATATTTATTTGTCGTTATATTAAGAAGGCTTAAATTACAATTTTGAAGCAGGAATGGATAAGAGGAACAATTTATGTTATAAATAGTTGTGGAAAATGAACCAATATGACATGATTTTAGGATATTTTACTTTTAAATTTTTATTTACACGCTTTTTATAACCGCTAGCGGGCATAAATGTCTCCTGATATATGAAAAAACATTATGTATGTATTCAATTATACATTATATTTTATTTCGCTTGGGGTTTCGTCACTTGTGTAGTGTTTCTCTTTAATTGGACCTTGTATCTGTTGCGGAATATACAAAATAAAATTAATATGAACAATTGAGGAAATATCGTCTTTTCTACGTAATTGTCCTATTTAGATCCAATGTGGATGCAAATTATGAGATGAGTTGCATCTATTGTGTATGTATAGTGCCTACTTCGTTTAAAATAACATATTAATGAAATCTAGTGTGTCGTGTCATGACATTCTAGGACAGAAACTAACGAATAAACTGATTTTTTTCAAAGAATGTTTTTCTTAAAAGAATTATGCTGCCCAAATCCAATTGAAGTAAAATATAATGTATAATTGAGTAAATTGTTTTTTCATATATTAGGCTGTACGAATCGTATGGATATTGAAAAAACAAAAATGAAATAGGGCCTAGAACAGTCCCCTGTGGGATACTCATTAAACATTCTTCAATCCCAGAATCAACTTCAACCCTAGTACCACCAGAGCTTAAATGGCGTATAGCTGCATACTGCTTTCTGTTTGTGGGGAAGCTCTGAAACCATTTTGGCTGTTTTTTGTGGCATAACATGTTAGCATAGTCAAAAGACTATCATATCCGACACAATCGAAAGGTCTGCTGAGGTCACAAAAGACCCCAACATGGCTCTCCCTTGCATCAATAACGTGAACAACTTCATCATAAAACGTATGCATAGCAGAGTTTGTGGATTTATCAGCCTAAAAACCATACTGACGCGCATTGTTTTCCTGAACAAACTTCAGTAGTGGATCAAAAAATGTATTTCCAGTGATCTAGAAAAAGAAGAACAAAAAGTAAAAGGTCTATAATTCTCCATTAAATGCAAGATATTTTTTATATAAGGGTAAACTTAAAAAAAATATAAATTTATTAAAAAAGTCATAGGATAAAGAATTTCAGGCAGAATCAGCGTACCATTGATACATGCTGTCTCTATTAAAACTTATACAGGAGCTTCTAAGATGAACTGGGATCTGGTTTTATAGGACACATGCTAGTTTTTTGTGATGTGCAACGAGTGAACGTTGTGCATTGAAATCAATACTATCGGTTCATTAATAAACATCATGCACATGGAGGCTTTTTATAAGATGACCATAATATACAACATACTGTATATTCAGCTAATTCCAGTGTACCTCATTTCCCTTATACTTTGTATGGTGTATACGCTGCGGCTGCGCACTTTGGGAATACCGATGGGTTAACCACGGCATATTACATTAATTTATCTATCTACTGGGCCCTTCATCCTCACTTTCCTTATTTACAGGATCTTTTTAAGATGCTCATGAAATGATTATTTTGTCGCCATCAGCATGTATAATATATTTTTACGCGTAGCAAACACATTAGTGCCCATACAAACGTTATAAGGCTCCTCTCACTGAAAAATTGCGTCATGTAGGTTCATTCTGCGCTTCCCACGCAACACCGTCATCAATTCATGAAGGATTTTGTTCTGCACAAGTTAGACCCTATCGAAATAACATAGTGCCAAAGACCTTATGTCCTGGATAGAAGATAGTTGTTATGCTTTCTTTTGTTGTCCGAGATACCAGGCCTAGACCGTACTGATAAGTTGCCAAAGAAGAATGAAACAGCTTTCCATGGTTGGTTACTTTTGATCAGACTATTGAAAGCAACATGTTTAAGTTAGGCTCGGTGAGAGAAAAGTAAGTTTAGTATATCACAGAAATTGAACGGATCAAGTCCATGCATCTAATCCATAGTCATTCTTTCTCTACCCTACTTACCTTAATTCTAATAAAGAAAATTCAAAAGTTTAAATAAACTAATAAATGTTTTTTATCGAAAAACTTGAATAAAATAAGAGTAGGTACTAATGAGACACTTGAGATCGCATGTTCTGTACTAGTTGGTTGATTCTAGGTTCTGTTTTTGCCAAAGCTATTATCAGGTCGCTATCGACATTAAGACGATTTCGCTGTTTAGTTCTAATTAAAACTAGAGCCGAAAAGCCTGTCTCACATAAGTAAGTCGAAGAAAAAGGAACTAAACTGAATCCAAATTCAAGATGAGATGTAAATAATAACAGTTAGCGCGTGATCTCTCGGTAACAGGTGGGGACAACGCCTCTTATTCGTCAATTCGCCATTAAATTTCAAGCGGTCGCCTGGCGGAATAATGCGCGGGGCAGAGGCAGGGCAGCCAGAGTTGTATTTGAGTAATTTTTTAAGTTTCTGTTTCTGTCAAATACTGTACATCTTTGTTTTACAACACGTTGGTGGTAGTCCATCATTCGGAGGTAGCCCTGAATGCGGCCCTGTACGCCGTCCTTGCTTTTGGCAATCACGCATCCATTCTATCTTGGGTGTAAATACACTATAGTATTCGTAAAGCAAGAGAGGCAAGTGTCGAATTAACAGGCAATCTTTTGATCCAAAATGTCTCCAATGTTAAAAGATGGAAGTCATCTTTCATGGTCGAATCAGCCTTCATTTCTATAAATTCTTCCTGAACTTCTTCTGGTAATTGTGATACATCGACAACAAATGGATTTCTTGTGACATGCCATATTGGTGACTCGGAATTGATGTCTCGATAGTATCGGCGAAATTCGTCTTATAGCGCTTGCAAATGAGTTTTTATGTCAGCTTTTAAATTTGCGTCCAGTATGTTATTTTTAGTTGCTTCGAACAACTGAGAAAAAAGGATATAACATTTTCACAAGACACTTTTTGATTCCAAAGTTAAAGCTTTGATATGAACCACTGAATATAATCATAGTTGCTTATTATAGTGTTGTTTCTGCCCTGAAGTTTCAAGTTTAGCTCATTCAAGGAGTCAAATATGTCAGTAAATAAGCCAACCTCCATTGAAATGTGTCATCTTTGAACGTTATCAAGAAATCGTGTTTTTCTTTGAACTCAAGAAAAAGAATTACCTCTTCTTTCAATTCATAAAGGCGAGCCAACATGTTGCCTTTGGACAGCCAGCGTACTTCTGTATGGAACAGAAGAACTTTGTGATCAGAATCGAGCTCCTCGCAAAGTAAAGTAAATAACCGACTGTTCAAAGCGCTGCGCTTGATGTAGGTTACAGTCCTTATAGCCGAGTCCCAAGTCTGGCGTAATTTCTGTGGCAATGTTTTGGAAGCCAAAGCTTGCCGATGAATAAGACAATGTGTACTAACCATTGCGGGATTTTTTTCCTTGAACTTTTGAGCTAAGCCCGATCGTACACCTATCATTGCAGGTGCGCCATCTATGCAAAGTCCAATGAGTTTCTTCCAATCCAAATCATTTTATTCAACAAAATTTCATATTAAATTAAATATATCTTCAGATGTAGTACCTGCTGTCAAAGATTGGGAGTACAAAATCTCTTCTTGAATGATATCTCCGCCGATGTAACGAACATAAACTATTAACTGTGCACAATTAACGACGTCGATGGATTCATCACAACTAATGGCAAAAGATGGCGAGAATTTTACTTTGTTAATTATTTGTGACTTTGTCTGATGCAATGTCATCGATTCTACGCTTGACTGTGTTATTTGAAAGAGAAATAGACTTCATTTTTTGCTCTGCATCTTCTCCTAAAATTATCTGCGTGGCTTTTAGGACCCATGGTTTTATTAATTCTTCAGCGATAGTATGTGGTTTCTTTTGCTTTGCTATCATAAAAGCTATTTCGATGAAACTTTGAGATGCTGCGATACACCTGTGTATCTTTCCGATTTATCCAGTCTCATCCGCTTGGGTGATTCTCTTTTAGAAGAAAAAAAACTATTTCTTCTTCAAAACCAGATTAGGATGTTGTTGCTTCAAATGTCTTTCAAGGCAATTGGACCTCATGCTATCATTACTTAAAACTTTCATACATATCACACACTGAGGCAATTGTAAATCGTCTTCTTCTATCTATGAAGGTAAATCCAAACTTGAGGTAATTCGCGGAAAACTTTCTTTTTTCGCAACCATTTTGCACATATAACAATAAAACAAATAAGTAATAAATAAATAAGCAAAATACTAATTACGAGTATATGCCCATTATTTTATCTTAATAACGTAATGTATTCAACAGTATATTGGCCACCGGGAGATTTATATTTTTGTAGGCAGGTTGACGTTATAATAGTAATTTTGAATACATTTGGAATCAATATTAGTTACTTAAACTTCGTCGTTTCAAAATTATTTCGCCACGTTGGTTTGAGTGTGATGTGGTAAAAAAGTTCCAATGGCCGATGTATGAACGCGCCTCCACTCAATCAACAATTTAGTAAATTAAATAAAAATGGTAACTGAAGTTTGCAAACACACAAACTTACCTTTTAACAGTGAGACACAATAATTTAACAAACTCAAACAGATTTCTCAACAAAACATGTACATCGAAACGTAAAATTTTTCGCAAGTTTGTGGGAATGAATGTCATAGATGCTCATCTGCGTCTGGTAGGTACACAATTGTTTTCTAAGTGATGTTGTGACTTGTCAAAACTTGTATAAACCGCAATTGGCGACGCCGGGCTTTGATACAGCGGTTGACAGAATAAGTGAATATGATATTTGATTTCTAAATTTATGCGTGTAAATTAAACATTACATTGTAATGTTATTTGTTACAGTTGTTTGTTCATTTTTTGTTTTTTATTTCTAAAATGCAAACGCTTTCCGTCCCACTTGACTTGACATCTCTCTATGGCCCCCTTGGGAGGCGCGTCCCCATCGTTTGGGACTTCTGCTCTAAATCGTCAAAAAACGGGGTTTGGGTGATTTTTATTTTTTATCCTTTCTCATTCTCGCTTCGCCGCCACTGGACCTATTTTCAAAAACTGATAAGCTTTTCCATCCTTGGCATAGCAGGAGCTTTGTGTGAAAGCTCCATCCAAATCCGAGCGGTATGTTTCAAGTTATAGACGGCTAAGGCTTAGAGGACAGTCAGGCAGATGCCGACAGACTAAGGCAAATGAGTCACAGTTTCTTGTGATGTACATGTCATATAACATCCAAAACAAAACAATATATTATTTCTGCGATTTTTTTTGCAATTACAGCTCCTCCTCGCCAACAGGCGTGGAAAGCAGGCGCCCAACACTATAGTTCCTAACGGCATCACTTACGTATACAAATTATAAGACCTCCTACTATCGCTTCATCCCCTACATATATACAATGTTTCCTTAGCATCCCTAGGGAACTTGACGATATAGGCAAATCGGATTGCGGAAGCGATCGTCCCATCAGCTTCAGCTTCAACGGTAGGCGGTCATAAGCCGCTACGAAGCTCACAAAAGGGACTAACAGTATTACCATAAGTGGCGGCAGTTGTTCGACCGACTGTGAAATTTTTATTTGCGTTGATAAGAAAACGCGCGCATTCTCGTTTCTCGCACCATTTCATCGTCGATTTCTCGCCCCCTGGATTTCTTTTCATTACTTAGTTTAGTACCTTTAAAAACCCATCACTTACAAATAGGATAAAATGTTGCATTATATTATAGCTGACGAGGTTTTTCACTGTTAGATATATACAGCTTGCTAGAGATTGTAGATTAGACTACAGTAAAGGGGTAGTCCAAAACCCTGACAATATTGCATCAGTTATGGATCTACTGCTTAGTGCCGTAGTGGTAATGAAGGAGAAACCGTTGTATAATTTTTAGAAGCTCATTTTTCCGTCATATCTATATTTGCCGAGATATTCCAATTTGTACAGTGGATCAAAGATGGCGTCAAGTAGGGGTTGACTCTGCACCTCCCACTCAATGATCATTATGAGAAAAAAGTTAACTAGGAACATGTATTATACAAAAAATAATTGAATCGATCAATGAGCCTAACAAGTCCATACAAATAATCCATAGTCCTCACCCATGTGATAACATCTAGAGATTCTTTTCCAGCCCTTACTGATAGTATCAACCATCTGGCAACGTCAGCCATGCTATGCTGGCCAGCAAGGGAAGTGATGCGGTGTGAGATTAGGCGGCAGAGGTATGCAGGATTTTTTGGATACCGGCTCGTAGCGTTCGACATGTGCAACCTAGATGTCATTACGTCTGTTTCATATTCCTCCAAGTTTTAAGTGCGAATGTACGGAGAAACCCATGGCGTATAGTATATGTACCAACAAGTGTATAGAATTAGCAGAGTTGGGACCTTATGAATATACTACCGCCAAAAAATTGAGTCATACTCTCTCCAACCCCATTAATCTCCCAATTTTGAACCCCTACAAGAATTTTCCTGAAAATGATGTCTCTGAAGCCTCTAAAACGTCAAAAAAGTTTTAACGATATTTACTTTCTCGTTTTTTGCCCCTCACTCCGCCGTCACTGGACCGATTTCCATAAACGACAAAGATTTTTCGTCCTTGGCATAGTAGTAACCTTGTGTAAAAGTTCCATCAAAAGATCAGCAAGCAGAAAGACAGACGGAATTGAGAGAAATGGTTTTTCGTGATCTACTATATTTGTCTTGCAACATCCAGGAAACGTAAGATCTCAATTTCGACATCTTTCGCGATTACAATACTTTCTCGCCAGTTTGCTTTTCCTGATGAAATCACATTTGCATTGAATAAATCACAGTAGATATCTGATAGATATATTTTGTCAATTTTTCATTGGAGCTCTGATCTATGTTGCCACGTTCCGCAGGAGTTTGTCAGACTCAGGTCCCAGTGAAGGAGACAGTATAACTATAAACAAGTATTTTAAAATAATTAATTAGTGCAAATTCTAGTTTATAAACAGTAAAAACCTCTTACTATATATCTTAACATCCTTTATGAAGTCATATAATCGGATTCACTTCTATAGTTTACTTCGTCTTTGAAAAAACCGATCCAGTTATATGTCTTATACGGTTATGCAGTGCTTTTCAAAAAGCTTTACCTCTACTTATTTTTTGAACTACTATTATACTGCTACTATACTTACTATATTTTAGAGTAAAAGAAGGCATTTGAAAATTTCAAGTCGGCGTCTGGGCTTCATTTTACATCTTTTAAATTGCGGCATTTTGTATACTAGAATATAAAGTCGGTGTTCGCTTATAATTGAACATCCAATCATCAAAACGCTGTATATTTTATCAATGTTCTTCTCCTGGAAGGATCTATTCGGATATCTAATAAAATTCCATAACATTCGATTTAAATAAAGTGGCAAACTATTTTTTTAATGAAAGTACCCTGACATCCTGAGAGTCCGCTATTTTGGAGGATAATGAGATTATATTCTAGGGTTAGATAAAATATACAGGGTTATCCAAATTAAGTGTCCACCATTAGTAACTTTGTTATTAGTGAAAATACAAAGTTGTTTGAATTAGCAAACTAGTAGCATTTTTAACGCTGGTAAAAATGAGAAATAAAAAAAACAATTGAGAGTCGTTATTTTGATTTTTTTCAGTAAAATAACATTTTTTTAAATGGAAACCCCTGTATATTATATTTTTTTCTGTTAAAGCATCAAATTTTAAACAAAAAAGTTCATAATGACTTTTCCGCTAAAGTCAAAAATAAAGTCAAAATAACGATAAATATTTTTAATTATTTGCAGTATTATAATATTAAGACGGCTATGAAAACAACATGGCGTTCGCGATTTGACAGCATTAAGATAAGCGACAAATTGTTAAACTGGACATACTCGCAACTAGAAGGCTTTGGAAAACAATGATAAAATCAAATAATGTCAAACATTAGTGTAAATACTTGTTTATAAGCTTTATTGTGTCATTAATTTAAAGAAAAATGTTCTCCCATGAAGAAAAGTGTGATATGTTAGAATGCTATTTAGTGTGCAGAAAATCCTCCTTGAGAGCAAGAGAATACTACAGTGAATTATATCCCGCTCGCATTCAACCGTATAAACGATATTTTCTGAGACTTTATCGAAAATTTAGGGGCAACGAAAATGTTTTTGCTAAAACAAGGGCAAAAAAAGAATTCATAATAAGCGAGGCCACGGAAATTGCAGTTATTGGATATTTTGAAGCTTATCGTGAGAATTCAATAGCAGATATTCTCAAGGACTCTAATTTCAGTTATGGTACTGTTCAAAGGATTTTAAAAAAATACAAATTTATTCCGTATAAGTACCGACCAGTTCAAACGCTTTTGGCAGGGGATCCAGAGAGAAGACTTGTTTTTTGCCATTGGTATCTTAGCTTCTGTCGCCAAAATGTAAATAACTTTCGTTACCTTTTATGGACAGATGAATAAAATTTTTCAAATTCTGGAATGTTTAATAGAAAAAACCACCATTATTGGTCAAGAGAAAATCTTTTGTTAGTACATCCAAGAGGCCCACAAGTCCGTTTCAGTTTCAACGTTTGGTGCGGTATAATTGGTTCAAAAATTGTTGGCCCGTTCTTTTATGAGGGAACCCTAACTGGTGAAAGATATGTGGAATTTATGTCAGAAATTCTGACTAATTTCTTAGACGAATTGGATCTTATAAGTAGACATCATCTGCATTTTCAGCAAGATGGCGCACCTGCCCACAACTCCAGAGGTACTTATCATTTTCTAAGTACTACTTTTAATGATCAGTGGATAGGAACAAATGGCCCAATACAGTGGCCTCCCAGATCACCAGATCTAAACCCACTTGATTACTTCTTGTGGGGTTACTTAAAGAACCAAATTTACAAGCGAAGGTACGA